AAGGTACTCATCCATGCCTTTCAAGTAGAATTGTAATCCATTATCCAAATAATATACCATAACTAGGGCTCATGGGAAATGGTAAGAAAGAAGACAAAAAGGAAAGAGAATCCAGCATGAACAACAATGAGTTCACGTGGTTGAGCCAGTAGGATCGTCTTGAAGTGAATGATGAAAGCATCAACTTTATTAAGAATGGAAAGAAGATCCTTGTCATAGACAAATAAAGATAACAAAAAATGATACTAACATGCGTAGTGTACTGCTATGAAGCAGCTGATTTGACTGGAACCCATAACTCCAACATGCTAGTTATAACCAGCCGGTCTTAGCACAAAGTTGTGTCTTTGGGGCTAACCGCTTCAATATTCACAGTTTAAAATAACTACCACTCTGTGGAACCAAAAATGAAAAAATGCTGTGAGAAATTATTCATGAATATACCTTAGCTACTTTTTCTTCTTGTGTTGTATGGAAGTGCACTAGTTGTGATATGAATGCACTTTGACAACTTACGACATCGCTCTGACAGAGTCTTGTAACTGGTCCTGAAAGTATATTTTGGGCAAACGCCGTGAACACTTCACTGTAGCAATCACTGAAGAGAACGACTTGTGGATTTCCAGATATAGTTTCCCTGACAGAATTAAGTTTATCCACGAAGCCAAGATCGAGGAAGGTGTTGAATCCATCAAGTACCTACAAGAAACAAAGGAATACATAAATTTTAGATAGATAAATAGCAATAACAAACACAAAAACAACAACATAAAGATTCTTTTACAAGTAATTTCACTTATGAAAGAAGGGATTATGAATAAAATACCTTATTTAAAAATATATAATAAAAGTTTTGACCTAGAACAATCAACAAAATAATAACCAGATAGAATGGCAAACATGCTTAAAAAATCTAGATGCCAGCCAGAGAATGATTAGATACTTGTGAATATATTTTAATATAAAGAAAATTATGAAGCATGAGTGCAATAGATTTGAAAACACAAAATGTGCTTACCAATAGTGATACGCCAGAGATGTCAATTGCCTTGAGGGAAACAAGTTCAAGCAACCTCTCTGGAGTAGATACAAGAAACTCAGGCTCGCAGCTTCTCAAACTGTACTAAGAAAAGTGGCAGTTAGTAGTAATTAACTGATGACCTTATGTAGAAAGAGGGACAAGTTGCAAAACACTAGAAACAACAAACTTGAAAGCATGATTGAATTCCTAAAGTGCAATAAGACAGTAAAAAGAAAAATCATTTTCAAGTGGCATGAGTGGCACCATGCTTTTCAAGCAAAATTCACAGATATGATGTCCTAGTTCTTGATTGCTACTGAACAAATATGTGCTGAATTCCTGCTGTAAACAACATATCCAACATTACAGGAGTATTCATTCAAAAATTAAGAAAATCAAGGCATATGCAACTCTTGTTAAACTTGTAGCCAATAATGAGTTGTCTTAGAAGAAAACTTAACGAAGTCTTCCCAAATATATCCGTAACAGCCATAATGCTAACAACAACTGAATGCATCTTCTATACATGAAAGCAAATATGCAAAAGTTCTCCATATCCCATTATGATGTCCATTATTCACAAGATAGATGATGCATTTGTATATTTCTTAGAAATTCAATTCTTCAATGAAACAATTCTTCAATTAAAATATATGCGGATATATTTGATTCAATATATTTATTTTCTATATGTTAATAAAATATTTTATTTTTTGCAGTGACATATGTCTTTTTTTATTACAAAGATGAAAGAGAAGAAAACATTATTGCATTTGCTATCATCTTATCCCCTTATCATGCGCTCCCACACCGTCACCTTCATTGTCTCTCGCTAATATCCTCTCCTTCTACCACCCCGGTCCATTCTCTCACTTCTGATGTCATCATCTCACCTCCATCTTCCTCTTGCACTACCATCCTCTTTCATTGCAGCGCTCATTGTAGTCATTTGCCCTCTATCTCTTGTCATCAATCTCTCTTATTATCATCGTCTCTCCTTTGGACTTTCATCACCACCCTCTTTTTTCTCAATTCTCCCTCTCTTGTCATCGCCCAACGCCTGTAAGAATTCACACTTTTATGTTTGCTCGACCAATGAGTTATTTGGATTCATCAAGTCATTTCACACATATTTTGTTATATTTATTATTTTTAAAATTTTAAAATTTAAATTTAATTTTTTTTATCAAACCTAGTTCAACCAATGACCCAATATCTCGAGGCTTGACCGACAATGCCCGATCCGATTCCAATAAAATACTAAAATAGTAAAGATTTTCTTTGAATGACATTGCCTATGGAAACCTTTTATAATTTGAATGATATTTTGCACGTGTGGAAACCTCACAATGATGGGAACCTTTGCTCTTTCTGGTATTATATTCTCAAGATCATCAACTTAGTTGTTTTAACTTCTTTCGAAAACCTTGTACAGTCATAAAATTATAAAACACATCTAAGTTAAACAAATATTTATTTGAATTTGTGTAATTTTTTTCCTTAGCTATCAGATTCATCCAGATGAACGGAATGTGAGAATAATAATCCTATCAGTTGTAATCTTCCAATCATAAGAGCATCTTCTTATCAAACATCATATCTTACTAGTCATTGTGCATGTTGCAAGTATGTAAAGTGGGCCTTTAGCTTTTCTGCTCTCTCTCTCTCTCTCTCATTTCTATAAACTTCTTCCTTCTTTCGCATATTTCTTCTTAGAATTACTTTGTGAGAACAATCTCATTTTCAGTGAAAAATCATTCGTTCCAGAATTGGTATGCTAAATTCAGTAACTTGTTGAAGAAGGAAGATTTTGTTTTCATACCTTTTGGGGACCACTGTTGCTTCCTAAAATCCAGTGATCTAAAAAGGTGCTCGCCTAGGTGCTCGGGCGAGGTGAGGCGAGGCACGAGTGCCTCGTTTAAGGGCCAAGCGACGCGCTTCAATGAGGCAACGCTTGGGCACTTGCCCGAGCCCAAGCATCGAGCACTTCGGGCGAGCGCCTGGTTGATATAAGGTGACCGAACCAAACTTTTTCAGTCTGATTCAGTTAGATTTACGTTAGTTGAACCAACGCACGCACACAATTATATCAAAACTTGCACGCGACCCCGACTCCCAACCCTATGCTTTCTCCCTCTACGTCTGCCACCAATGATTTCTCCCTCTATGTTCACCGCCGACACCTCCGTCGCCAACAATTTCTCTTGTTGCCTCCGAGTCTTCCTCTGTCACCAATCAAGTTTTGCTGTCTGCCATTGCTGTCCGCTATCGCTGTTGCTGTCCACGATGCGACTCCGCTCCCTCCTGCTGTCCACAACTCCACTACCGATGTTGCTGTTGTCCACTACCTCCTGCTGTCAACGACTCTACAGCTTCCACCGCTGTCTGTTGCCTCCTGCTATCCGCAACTCTACTGCCGCTGATGCTGTCTGGTGCTGCGACTGTTGTCCGCTAACTTCACACCACGACTTCTCACCGCAACTTCTCACTATCGGTTTCTAATCTTCCCTTCTAATTGCTATTAACAGTAAATATACTGTTAATAGTAGATTATTAATTACTATACAAAATAATTTTTGTTTACTAGATTACTAATATTATCTATTTTTTATATTTTAATAGTTTAGAGCGTCTCGCTTTGCTTGCCTCGGGACTTTGGTGCCTTTTGACACCTAGCGCTTTTTAAATCACTGCTTAAAACAAGGAGACATTTTCCTTGATATTAGTTTCCTTATTGTACTAAATCACAACTACTTTGGTCTTCATCTTGTTGCAGTTCTTTCTAGTACAAGCATCCAAAAGCACATAGCTAAACAGCAGCACAGAAGTAAAAGCCCAAGCAATTGCTTACCCCTGCACCTGGTGATCCAATGGTGCATCAGGATGCAAGCTTACTGTGTGTATTCCTAGGGCCTTGAGTGGTTTGCACACTGACCTTATCTGAACATAAATACAAGTCAAAGGCACAAGCAAATCAGGCTGTGGCAATAACCAGAGTGCCGTGATTTATAGACAGCAATAATTGGTAAAGCTATCGAAACAAAAGGCAGCAGATAAAGACCTGAACAGCCTTCTCCCGCGTTGGCACAAGGAAAAGAAGGAAGGGACTGGGAACGACATGCCCCTGCTTCTCCTTCCTCGTAATGATATCAGAAGCTGTAGACACCAACCAAGCGACCTGCTCTGTGGTGGGGCAAGACCCACTGGTGTCGATGATGTGCGAGCCGGAAGAACAACACTTCCAGAAATCAACACCCCAGTCGCAGGCGAAAAGAGAACCATCCAAGCTACCATCAGGCGCTGCTTGTCGATCCTTCCACGCGTCATGTATGGCGTTCAAGCACAGGATAAGGAACTTGGAAGGGCAACCATAGTCCGAGTCGCAGTCGCTGCCGACGCCACCACCTTCGCTGGCACGATGCTCCGCTCTCACAGCAGCATCACACCTTTGATTCTTGCTCTCCTCGGTGGCGGAGACGGGAGGAGGTGACACACTCTTGCTGGGTTTCTGCTTCGTCTCCTTCCCGTGGCGATCATTGAAGGGATCGTCAGGCGTCGGGAGGCTAAAGCACATCCCCTGCACGAAACACATGATGTGAGAAGCAGGACACCCGAGAAAGGCCGATTGCGATCGAACTGGGGTCGCATCCAAGAGAAGCGAGCGTATGTTCATCAGAAGGACCTCGCAGATGCGGCGATTCCCGGTCTTGCGGCGCCGCTTGGCAGCGATGATTGCGGCGACGCGGGCGGACACGGCGGATTCGCTGTTCTTCATCCGCTTGCGGTTGGTCTTGTTCTTCCTCCGCCTCACCGCGTCGTCTCCCTTCGCCATGACAAGCGATGCGCCTCCGCCCAAAATTGAACCGAGAGCGCAAGGCAAAGGAAACCGCTTCGGCGAGGACGCAAACGAGCAAGAAACCGACGCAGCGGAGGGCATATATATATGTGCTCCGGACCCATAAAACCTAGATCGACAGCTTGCGTTCCCGGGCTTGTTCGGCGGCCCAAATGCCAATACTGGGCCGACACGAATGCGCCCGTCTTCGTTCCAGAAACAAGGGGCGGATCACATCACGTGGAATGCACGTGTGGTAGAGGTTTCCCTTCCAATTATTCTACTGAATGATGCTGTGGTGTGACGCCAACATGACTCAATAACGAATGATAGCGTTTCAACCAACATTCGAGATGACATTTGCCTTTGTGAGAGTACACCAATGTTAAATATAATTAAAACTCTTACATATTATATTTACCTTTTATTCCAGTTTAGAGTTGATTTCATGGCTTACAGACAATAGTTTGTCCGACAAATCATTCCTTTTCCTTTACTTTCGGCTGATGAGGAAACGGAAGAGAGTTCTCGGACAGACCCTTACTACATAACACACTGATTCTTTGTGGCTCAGCAAACTCGGACAGCAAAAGAAGAAGAAGATTAAAGAGCAGATGGATCATGGCTAAGTGATTGTTTCCTAGATAACTCATAATTGAAAAGGATTAACTAAGGTGGTAACATCATCTCATTCACAAGACTAGAAGACACTGAGAAGGCAACTCGATTGATTTTCAAGAAGCCATCATAAGTTTATCGAAATTGTCAAAGACAATCAATAAGCCCAAACTATCCACGGAAACACAATGTTGTATCCATGTTCTACCATCCTTACCTACTAAATGCCAACACTTCAAGAATTCATGTTTTCATATTCTTCTATATAGCCTTCAAAAGAATTCATGTTCTCATATTCTTTCATATTGCTTCAAAAATTGTATTCTTTTGGCTCTTTGTGATTGATCCTTCTAAATACCTGAACAATGGAGCATCGTGATGTATATACTCTTTGCAGTATACAATCATCACGGAGCATAAATTGACGGTGGAGGCAAAAGATGCTAAATATGAAGTGAGCGGCGAGCGACGATAGTGACAGTGACAGCAGCCACGATGAGTAGCAACATTAACGACAAGCAACGATAGCGAAGAGAGACAATGACAACAGAGAGAGGCAACAACATAGAGAAAATGTCAATGTCAGAATCGTGAGTAGGGTTAGGATTGGGGAAGTCATGAGAGGGATGCTAGGAGGCTGATATTGGTGTTTTAGTTAGTTCAAAAACACCGGAGACCAAATTAGACGTAAAACATTGGTTCAGTCACCTAGTTTAACCCCAACGCTCGCCCGAAGCACCTGGCGCCTGGGCTCGGGTGAGCGTTTAGGCGGTGCCTCTTTGAACCGAAGTGCCTAGACATGAAATGAGGCACTTGGGCCTCGCCTCATCTTGTTCGAGCTCCTAAGCGAGCGCCCGAGCGATTATTGAAATCGCTGCTAAGGTGAGCATTAGAAGACCTGCTGGACACACTCCTGAACCCTCATTATTTTGTAGTATCCACCTCGAGTCACTTAGGTGTACATTTCATCTGATTCAGAGTACTTTACCTCGACTCGATTAGCACCCTCAACTCATGTTATCTTGATTCGGATGAACACTCAAATATTAACAATCTTAGATATTTGATATCACATGTGTATATAATCCACTTTAGCAAAGGCCAAAGTCAGTTCTTATAGTGTATCAATTCAGTTTGGTCAATTTGACCTTAGGTCAAAGAGCGGACTATTTTTGCACCTTGGAGTTGAGCCATCTTAGAGCTGTCTTTGATTCGCACCTCAACAACTCAGTTTGAGTCACCTTGGCACATCAGTTTGATACCCCAGCATCTTGGACGTGAGATACCTCTGATTCTCACCACGAACTCGGTTCTGACTGGTATATAAATGTATAAAAATAGATCCAGTATAGGTTTAAACATCATAAAAAAAGAAGAATAGCTAAATTTACAAACAAATGTCAAAAATGGAATATATATAGATGCACATGCCTGTTTGCATAGATATAATCACTAGAATACTTAATGTCTACAATATTATAATATCACCCGACGAAAAGGTTATAAAGCTAGATAGATTTAGCATCATAAATAAAAATCTACTTCGTCAAATGAGATGTATATTTAGAAATGATATGTGGGTTGGAATGCCTATAAGAACCGATCCCCTCAATTTGAACCAGAACTATAAACATTAATCTTTAGGGATAATCAATCTCCTTCAATTAGTCCCTTTGAGGAATCACATCCAAAGCTCCTTCATCATCTAACGAAGACATAGAGATTCGGATGGATCACTTTGAATAAAGACAACATCGGCTCGAACATCGTCAAGATCAAATCCTATCGGAGAAGAATAAACAAAAGACAAAAAGACATACCGGGAAGATTTGGTTTAAGATCCACAGTCACAGTCAACTGGACTGCAACCAAGGTGTTACGTTAATCTCTTGTGCCTAACACTGCTCTCGAGTCTCCAACATTTCCAATGACAAGATCTTGACCCTATAGATGAAGGAAACCCACATTAACAACAGAAAACAGTAGAATTTGCTTTGTATTAACTAGAACTTGTACCGAGATGCTTCATCAGTTCAAAAAGAAAATATGATAGGAAGTTAATTACTAATAGCCAACCTGCTTGACCATAGTAACTGCTGTTGTCCCACTGTAAAAGCAATCGATATCTGGATGCAGTCTCAGTTCTTTATCCACTATTCTAAAAGCCTTTAGGAATGAGTCTTTCAATATTGTCAATGTTTCTGAATGCTCGACTCTTTCTTCAAACCCAACAGAAGCTTTGGATTCTTCATTGAGGTTCATAGATGAAATTTCCTCCGAACTCATGCTTCTGGTACTGCTGATATTGTTTTCTCTGCATTCGTCATTACCTACATATACTTTCCAACTGGTACGTAACTTTAGAGAGAGAATATCTCTCACTTTTCTCACTATCATGTCATGGACTTAGTTGGTTTTGTCTAAGTCATACAGTATTCTTGCGTGTCCATCCGTAAAAGTCAACCTCTCCGAAGCCTCCCATGATCCCTTAGGACCCACAAAAGAAAAAACGGGTTAGAGATGAAGTTTCCTCCGAACTCATGCTTCTGGTACTGCTGATATTGTTCTCTCTGCATTCATCGTTACCTACATATACTTCACAATTGGCACGCAACTTTAGAGGGAGAATATCTCTTACTTTCCTCGCCACCATATGGCCATTTCGACCATGACCATCAAAAACTCCATAAATAGTCAATCTTTTAAAATCTCACAAGCTTCACGAAGAACCTAGAACAGAAAAATAAAAAATAAAAAAAAAGATTTATGAACAAACGATTATGTGAGCAAACTATCGTTATTGCTTCATCCAAGCATGACTTAAGATCACACAACCATAACTTAGGAAAACACTTCATTTAACAAATGAAATAAGCATACATTACTTGCTTAGAATGATTGTCCGATAAATGATCCAAGTCTAGTCCATCATGTGCAAAGTCCTAACATCATGGATCATATCTCAAAACCTCATCTAATCTTGTGCTACCAGGAGTTCTAAGATACCAAGGTAGTTAATGTTTTTGTATTTCCTCTCGACATAAGAAAATTCATGCAAATTATAGGTTAGAGGCTTTGTGTTTGGACAATTGCTGGCAAACTCCATCGACTAAATGATCTAAGAAAATAGGGTTATCAAATCTAATACAAGCCCCTTGTAAGGTATGTTCAAACATAAATGATAGACGGCTCGTTGATAAGGTTTTGTATATCGCAGACCTATGCGAACGGTTCATCAAAGATAAAAAAAAAAATAACTAAAGTATCACTTACATATTTCCTAGGTAACTTAATCGAGATCCACTATCGGATAATACTCTAACTTAAGTACAATACGAGATAAACATTATTATTTTTAATCGATCAAGATTTAACACAGTATCTAGTCAAATCCTACAAGACATAGAATCTAATCAACTCCTACAAGACACAAAAGAGCATCCTGGATAGCTAGCCTACATGACAACAACAATCAAAGGGAAAATTCTCTCATTAATCCAGATTACCAAAACTGTCACTATGTGAAGCAACTTTCTCAGGTATACCTTATTACAGACTTACTAAATGAAAAGCCAACTCCTTACCAGCATTTGATGTCCACAAGTTCACGTGTAATAGTTTATTCACATTAGCACCTGATTATAAATTTTATGGATTCATATATAAGAAGATGTGTGCATGATTGGTTTAGGTCAGATATAATTCGTCCAAAAGAGAGAGAAAAAAGAGAGTGAACTCTAAGAACAATCTATTCGCTGTTGAGTTCCCCACCGTTCACAATCACCCACATGAATGCACCTTGCAACTCGCTACTCCACAGGACCCAATAACTTGCTCTGAGTACTCACCAATGTATATGTGGAACACCATACGCTAATATCTACAGGGACTCTGCGAGAGAAGTCGGCCGTGAATCTCGGGAAGAAGACTGATGAAGACGAGAAACTCTTCAGGGACCAGCGGAAGCGGCCATGGCGTATCTGCAGAGAGGGCAGAGATGGCTGCTCTCCAACCATCGAGTGAGACAGCCGCCATGGAAGCCGTGCATGCATGGCATCCGCGTCACCTCGACGCCCTCGTCGAACTCTTCGAAGCAGATCATGCAACTATGCTCTCGGACATCTCCTCCACGCTGATACTTCACCACCGCCAGCTCCTTCACCGCATCCGACGACGCCGGCACACCGCCGAAACCCCCACCCCCGCCGACGCCTTCGTCGAAAGAAGGCTCCATGATCGAGTAGCGGTAGAAGCGTAGGCCGAAGGTGATCTCGATCCCTCTGCCCATGCGGAGAGCCAACTCAACTGGATCATTGCAGAAGGTGAAGAGTTCTTCCTCCAACTGCCTAGCGGCAAGGATATCACGGCCGTAGACGCCTCCGTGAAAGAGAAGGAACGAGATCGCGCGGCGGCGAGATTCATGGTGGAGGAACTCGTCGAGAGTGAACACGTAGCAGTGGT